TAGTATATATTTGAAAATATAAATAACATTTAAAAAAAAAAAAAAAATACAAAATGGCGGCTCCAGCCCTCACTGAATGAAGCCGTGCGCGACAATAAGCAATGTGCGCTGCACACTCTACGGCCCTGCCAAGTGATCTGAAACAAACAAATCAAAAATATTCTTAAAATAGATGAAATTTTGGGGGCCTTATGATTTTCCGATTTTTAAAAAACCCTTTTAAAAAGAAATGACGGCCATTACAAAAAAGAAGACCCTCTTTTCCCGTTTTTTTGTTTTGCTTTAACGTTAAAAAAACAATAATAAACAATTTTTTTTAAACGCTTCCTGAAGGCTCCCTAAATTGAATAAGCTTTAATTTGCGCCGTCAAACATCGAAATCGGTTAAGTCGTTGAAGCGGAATCGTGTGCGGCGCGCAAGAAAAAGTTGTTTCAAGAAAAACGCGTCTAAAGTTAGAGGAAGAAAAAATCGTAAGTAATGTTTGTTTTTTGACACTTACATCTAATCAGCTATTCCAGCACCATACAGGGTTCCTTCCTCATCCTCGAAGAGCATGTTTTGCTGCACTTGGGCGCTAATTTTTCAATTCTGGCTTTTTTATTAACTCCGATTGACTCGCGTTCGCTGACTTGACGCGCTCTTCGTCAGTCTTCGCAGCGAAGTTTCTGCTGTTTGTTCCGATTACGATTCCCAAACGTCTGCATGGTTTTTAAATATAGATGAATAGCCTTCATTAAAGATACCGGAAGCTATGTATGCTGCTATTCTGATAGTTTGTTCGCCACAATGAACGTGTTTGGGGACCAGTTTCCACAGACAAGCGTTGAAGCTTTCGTTGTCATTTTGCGTGTTTCCACCTGTGCATCTTTGCAGCAAATCGTCACTTGAAAGAGCTTCATATATGGGTCGAATTGCTTCTTGAACTGATGCTATAAGGGCAGGTTCATGATGGAAATCGGCGAGTTCTCCCTTAGCTTCTGCAACACGCCATTTACACCAACTGTTTTCATCTGGCGGGCAGTTTTCATGTTTCGGTTTCTCATCCGTGGAACATTTATGATCGAACGTTGCCCACACAGCTTTTCTCATTTCTTCGGCCGAATCAGGGTGTCGCCTAATGGCAAGTCCATAATATAAAGTCAAATCTTTTATCAATTTGTCAGTCAATTTTCCTGCACCTTTACCTCCGATTCCTTTATGTTGTTTCTTGGCTGCGCGCAATCTTGTGCCCATGCGCTTCTGCACATGACCTATACATTCCTTTTTATGAACGGTAAGGTCGCTATAAGGATTACAGTTGAGGAGAGCTTGGAAAGTTTTCGTGTCACCGTCGCCTATATATGTAGCATATTTCACACCGTGCGATTCTGATCGACAAAACATTTCTTTCATACAATCTACCTCCATCTTACCAGCACTTCCATTGTGATTTATGCTGCAATGTTGTTCATGAGTATCATGCCAGATATCGTACTTATTAGTTCCTTTTTTGCTGGCCCAGTTGCTGCAGCTTTGGCAGAATGACGACTTTACAATAAAATCCAACACTTTGTGCGTATATTTTCCGATCAGCGTTGCAATTCCAAATAACGACGAAAAGCCACGTCTTTTCCACGAACCGTCGCCGACACGCTCAAATGTGTTTCTTCATTTCCCGCCTCCGCGTTCTTCTGTCTTTCTTCAGCAATCGCTTTACGTTGAATAACTTCGAATGTACTCTTTGCTGCCTCGAGCAGATTAGTGATAAATGCATAGTACGTACCATTTGCAAAGCCTGAAGACAGTTCCATTAGGGAACAAAAAGTATTTATCGACCGTAATCCGAGTCCCAGAATCCGCATAACAAACATCAAACGGCGATTTATTTCGTATGCACCATTTACTAAAGGACTTGAAGAAATGCGTTGTTGATCATTGCACTTGCACTTGATTACTAAATTAAAACCAAGTCCACGGTCACACGTACGAGAAAATGTCACATCACCGTCACATTTTTTACATTTTAAACACTGAGACAAAAAGGTGAAAACAGTCAGAAAATTTATAATAATGTTATTATGGCCAACATCAATTTCAATATCATCGTAACTCGCGTCTTTAATTTTTTCGCTGAAGTACTAGCATACTCAGTTTCTGCTTCTATTTTATCGGGATTATAATTGAATTTCTTCTTTCGAGGCCGATATGGTCGAACAGTTCCCACTGATTTTCGTGTGTTCGGCATTTTTGAAACACTGTTACTTGCCCCACGTTCGAAACGCAACTGAAATACGTTACTATAAATAGAAGTATAGAACGCACATTCAACCGAGGGTATACGAGCACACAATAAACAGGGATGTACAGGAACTCGTTGAGACAGGCACAAACTTGCTACCTGTAATTGAAACAAGGGAGCACCGCCTAAGCGGTGAAAAATGCCCCTCCCTTGAAGCCGCTCCGAGCGCGCGTTTATACCTGTTTTTCGGCCGATGCACTCTCTCATCTAATACGCTATAACTCCTAAAATAAATTATATAGGGAAATATCCTTTTGGCTACACAATTTCAAGACCCTAAGGATGAAAATAAAGAAAAAAAAATTTTTTTTTTTTTCGATTTTGACTAGAACCTCCCCCTAAAAAAGTATTTATAACAAAAATACTGTTTCTCAAATCTAATACAATATTTGTCGATAAAACTTTTTCACATATTTACGTTAAGTCACAACTTTTTATCTTGTTTTCAGTTATACAAAATTTGATTTAATTTTTTAATTATATCTTTTTAAAATGCATTTCAATATTTACATTTTCAGAAGATAAAATATTCACGATTTTATATAAGATCACATTGAAGAACACATGTCTTATTTTCTTTTACAGATGTAAACCACTATTATCTTTGTATAGTTCTAAATTTATTACAAATTACAATTGGATATGTAAAAGATGCGAATCAAGAGAAATATATACAATAAATAGAAATATAGCCTCATCACTATTGCCCTATGACATAGTACGTAGTAATAAATGCTGTTGTGTGTCGAAAGACTACAACGAGATATTTTAAGTTAGCAACGCTATTGTTTAAAGAATTAGCAAATAAAACTTTCAACTCGAAGCACGTTCTTAGAAAGACGAATAAGGTATTTAAATTAACAAAGATATTGACCAATACTATCTTAGACAAGTAACAATCGATTATAATTAAACGCTGAGGCGTTAACCGCATGAGGAAACGATCGGCGGATTGCCTCACAAACAAGCGAAGTAGATCAGCATTCACGGAAAGCAGACGTTGCTAACCTCGATACTGATCTGTATAAAAGAAGGTGACTCGATCGTCACCACGGGTTTTTAAGTTTGATCTAAGCACGAGCTGCACGTCGGTATCGCGAACTCCGAGTTTGTATCTTACGCAATCGTAACGACTGTGAGGAAGCCGTTAAATAAAGTGTACGCGAGTGCTAAGTGAATAAAGATATTTTATTTCTCATTGAACATCGTTCAATAATTATCTCCCTTGGATCAACCCCCTTGGCCCTACACGACGGATCCCGAATCCTGCGTTGGCCCGCGACGAGATCTTTGAGTCACGGGCACGGCGTAACAATGCATACAAATGACTAAAAATACGGTTTGGTTTTGTGAAGAGACAATAATCTTCTTGCTTATAATCGCGCAAAGAACGATACCATTAATAAGGATAAACAGATTGTGAGAACTAACAACGCTTTTATTACATGTATTACTCATTGCGATAATTATGTTATAAATAGCGACATGTGAGTATTTATTTATGAACTGTGTTTTGTGTTTATTTCTTTTTTTATTTTTGACAAATTTTTGCAGGGATGGTATTATTAACCGCTGGGAAATTGAGGATAATAAAAATGATTGTAAACGTTTAAAAATACATGATGTACATGATAAAATTGATCAAATAGACGCAACATCGCAACACATTTTAATTGGTTCTAGAAATTTAATAAAGGTAAGAAAATATTATAGAAAATTGCAATAATGTTATGTTACTGTAGTATGTAAAAAGTTTGTTTTGTAGATATTAAAATATACAGATGATAGAAAAGGTTGTACGGAAGAAAATAAAATCATTTGTGAAGGCGACGATTGTCATATTTCATCAATTTCATTTGACCCTATAGGAACAAAATTTGCGGCTAGTTCCGTTCATTGGTCTGATTTTTCTTATAAGTCGTCGTTTCTAATTTACGATATTGATAAAAAGTAAATTATGTTTCAATTTATTAATCGGTTTCCACAAATGTTCGATTAAACATTGACTATGTTTATACAGACACTATTATATAATCCAATTTAATACCATTTCTAATTATAACTTACAAGAACGTTTGATAACCCGAAATTCTAAAAAATCTGAAACTGCAGAAATATAATAATATAATACATATGAATCTAATCAATACGTACGTATATTTGGAATAATATACAACAAACTAATGTAAAGGAAATTTAGTTGTCAGCTAACAGTTAGAAAATGGAGTCTTTCCCAAACACTATGGGAGAATCCTCACACTATTCTCATGTGTTTTTGGAATCGCATTATAAAAATGGATATCAGGTAAGAAATCTTACTGTTAATACTAATTAGCCATTCAATTTATTTATATTCGCTACTGTGATTTCAGAACCAAAAGAATGGTATGTATATGGGATTGTTCCAAATATAGCCGTTTACAAAGTTGCTCATCAGATAATATGCACACTTTTATGACGGGGCATAATGAGAGTGTTCTATGGGATCAGACTGCATGTTCCAGTTCAAGTTTGTATTATTTTCAAATTTTTTATATCTTGTACTTTATTAGTA